CTAGCCTCGAGCTGAAGAGCACAGGGACAGCGCCCAGGCCCAGAGTTCAAGCCCCACAACCAACCAAAAAAAAAAAAGAAAAGAAAAAGAAATTGGTTTGTGAAGTCATTATATTCAATGTAGATTATTTTAAAAACGAACTCTGAGAGCTGGGAAGGTGGTTCAGTGGTAAAGCGCTTGCCTTGCATGCCTGAGGCCCTGGGTTCGATTCCTCGGCACCACATAAGCAAAAAGAAAAAAGCTGGAAGTGGCGCTGTCGCTCAAGTGGTAGAGCACTAGCCTTGAGCTGAAGAGCTGAGGGACAGCGCCCAGGCCCAGAGTTCAGGACCCATGACTGGACCCCCCGCCCCCCCCAAAATAACTCTGAGCCAGGTGCCAGTGGTTCATACCTGTCAGCTATTTAGGAGGCATTGATCTGAGGATTGTGGTTCAAATCCAGCCATAACAAGAAAGATGGTAAGGAGGAGGGAGAGGATGGGAAGGGATGGGAAGGGGAAACAAAGGAGGAGGCTACAATGCTTGATAAGAAATGTACGCATTATCCTGTCCATGTAATTGTAGCCCCTCTGTACAGTATTTTCACAATAAAAATAAATAAATAAGAAAGATGGTGAGACTCTCCAATTAACTACTGAAAATCCAGAAGTGGAGCTGAGGTTCAAGTGGTAGAGCACTAGCCTTGAAAATGAAAGCCTAAGGATGGCACCCAGCCCCTGAATTCAAGATCCAGGAAAGGCACAAAATAAAGGAATAAACTGTAAATTGACAGCAGGAACAGGAGGAGGGGAAATGAGGGAGAACAAAGGAAGCGGTGATATTGCCCAAGACGCATTGTATTCATAACCTGACTTACGGAATTGTGACCTTTTGTACAACTACTTTATAATAATAACAGTAAAAATAGATGTAAAACTTGATTTGTGGGAGAAAGAAAAAGAGAGGAAAGGAGAGGGGAGGGGAGGAGAAGAGAAGGGAAGGAAGGAGAGGAAAGAGGAGATGAGGGAAGGGGAGAGGAGAAGGAGAAGGAGAGATAGAAGGAAGGAAGGAAATCCTTTGAGGAATATGTAGCCAACATACAGATCCTACCATCATTTAATAAGGTGGATTCAAACCTAACCAGGTTTATTGCTGGTGGCTTACTTAATGTCTATTTACAGAGGTAAGTGAAGGTGGTTCAGGCCAGTAATAAAGGTTTCATCTCAGAATAAGACTGGCTATGGCCGGTTTTTAACATATGAGACCTGAATTGCAAAGATGCACCCTGTTTCCAGCTTTCATGCGGGTAGCTGCTTTGCACAGTCTTTACTCAGCCTGCTCCAGTTCTGAGGCCTGAGTGCTCCTCCCCTTCTCCTGCCCAGGACCTGCCCTCAGCTGCCACAGGCAGCTCCACACCAGGCACAGAGCAAGCAGAGAGGCTCAGCCTTGCATACCTTTGAAGGTACAGCACCAGTTACTGGCCTCAGCTGTAAGTCACTCGGGATGACCAGCTCTGACAGACTGTTGTAAGGGACATTTACTTTTGATCAGAATTTTGAGGGGGTTTTCTGCTCCACTTAACCGTCTGGGCCTTTCTTTTGAAGACCCAAAAGAAGGTGGCATGATGTGGGCTGTAGCATTACTTCTAGCTTTTCTGCTCCCTGGTAAGTACATGACATAAATAAATGTTCGTGGAATTTACTTTTCATTTCTATGGGGGAGGAAGGACTGAAGAATTCCTGTGCCTGCTTTCTCATTATTATTTTGTGGATGTTTGATACCACTGCAGGCAGTCAAATGTCTTCCACCTGGGCAGGGAGAATGCGGTCAGTCACCAAGACACTAAAGTCGTCTGTGGCAATCAGTTGTGATATTTACCTGGACACGGCCTATGTCCACTGGTATCAGGCCGTGGAGGGGAAAGCCCCACGACACCTCCTCTTCTATAACTTTGGTTCAACCACTGTCATGGTGGACTCTGAACTCAGTCCAGGAAAATACCATGCTTATGAAGGGGCAGAAAGGAACTGTAACTTGGTGATACGAAATCTGGACAGAAGCGATGCTGGCATGTATTACTGCGCTGCCTGGACCGACACAGTGATGCAGTCCTGCCACCATCTATGCTGAAAAGATTTTTGGCAGCTGCTCGGGGTGAAGAAAGTCAGCCAGCTCACTTCCTGCCCTTGATCTCCCTGGATTAGGAACAAAAGGAAACTCCAAGACCCATCCTCTACCCATAACCTCACATCCCACTCCCTACCACAGCCTTACTGCCACTAAATACACCCCAGGATGTTCCTAGAGACAAAACTGCCACCTCCTGCCCTCACACACACATATGGCTTGGAGTATCTTCTTTACAGGCACTGGGGGAAAGCCCATTCGTTCTGAAACCAGGACATACAAAGTCACTCAGAGTAGATCTATTGCAGGAGAAGACAAGGAGAGCATTATATTGGAGAAAGGCATTGAGAGATAAGAAATCTGAACGACAGAGCATTTTGAGGCAAAGATTCAGTATTGACCTTGAGAATCTTTTCCATGCTTTCATTAATTGAAGAAACTCCACTTGGCAAACTTTAGAGTCTCTTTTTAAAATCCATATTACTCAGAAGATGTGCTTAAGGAAAGCAAGCAGGCAATTTCCTCCCAAAATGTATGTTCTTGCACAGTTGAACATGATGCATATGTATGTGTATTGGGTTAAGAAAGTATCTTACCTTGAATTTGTTTTGCAAAATAAGTCTGATGGTTAAATTTAATTCCTTCTCACCACACATCAAGAGGATTCTATTTTTGTTGTTAGGTAATCATGTGTTGAGTCATACAGTAGATTTCTGAGCTATTGAACACATTTCTACACAGCATCCTGACGGATCACTCTGTCTGTGTTCCTGGATAGTAACCAGGTGAGGAGGATCTGGGGCCTGGCCTGGGGAAAAAAGCCTTGTTGATGGATAAAGCAATTCTTCCCTCCTGGAATTTCAGGGTGTAGTTAATGTGTCCTGGAAGACAGACACACACAGAAAGAATTTCACAGATGCCTGACAGGCAGTGTCATGGAATGCCTTCCCTGAGGAAGCAGAGTTTATGATAACAAGTACTTTTAGGATTCAGTGTTCTAGCAAGTGTTCCTGGTCCTGGTGCTGACGGAACCTGGGGATGGAAACATGGAGAGAAAGAACACTGGCCCGTGTTTCTTGACATGGCTATGTCACAGCTGTCCTGGAAGTTAGATAGAAGAAATAGGAAGTGTGAGAGGAAGGTTTTCTGGAGTCAACGGTCTAAGGCCATGAGGGCTAATGGATGACTGTCTTTCCTGGGAATGCCCAGAGAACTCTCTTAAGACAATCCGCTACGTTCTCAATGAGACCCTAGAATCCCGGAGCACCTTAGTGGAAGCTGTTTTAAAGGATATGCTGCCGCAGAATTCATCCCTAGTGTCACAGGAGATGATATGATTCCTCACAGGATCCTTGTAGACACACATTGTTCGAGATGGATCCAGACCAGAAAGTCAATCAGTGATCTTTGATGTGCAGAAATCTGTAGCAATGGCAGATATATCATGTTCCTGCATGTCAGGTCTGAGGGCCAAGTTGCTGTTTCCTTCTGACAGTAGCAGGAGAAGTACGTAGAATAGATTTGCTGCTCCCTTACCAACTTTTATTTCTTCTTTCTTTCTGGGCACTTCGAGGGTGGTGATCTGAATTTCCTTAGCCCCTCTTACCCCTGAGGCTGAGAGGACATACCCTGGCTCTTTCTCCACTCTGTCCTGCCCTATAGATGTCCCCTAACATGTGCATTTCATGGAGGCCACTATGACCACAAAGCTGTATGGGGAAGATGTCAAATGCCTTCATGAAGACTGTGGCTGCAGGTCTGAGGCCACCTTTATTGCCAAGGGACATCAATTGAATAAAAATGTCATACTAATAATTGAGAAGAGAATATTACGATGCTGAAAAGGAAAATGGAAACATGCTCATGACACATTACACAGCTACGAATTTGTATCCTCCCAAAGTAATATCTTCTTGTGGATCAAAATCTGATAGTAGGCCAGGTACTGGTGGCTGATGCCTGAAATCCTAGCATCTGAGGGTCATGGTTTGGGGTCTAGCAAGGCAGGAATGTCCATGAGATTCTTACCTCAAATTATCCAACAAAAACCCAGAAGTGGTGCTGTGGTGCAAGGTGGCAGAGCTCTATCCTCGAACAAAAATGCTCAGGGACAGCAGACAGGGCCCGAGTTCAAGCCCTACGACTGACAAAATAATTTGATGATAGGGATAATACAAACCCACAATATAACAAAAAAACACAATGGAATACCCATCCCACCCCCCCAATGCTCCCCATTTATATTGCAGGTCTTTCCATCCATGGTCTCCCTTTGAAGATGATGCTGTAGCTGTCATTTTCTAATGTTGATCAGGCTCAGCATTCTAGAGGATGTGACGGACAGTTCTGGAAGAGCCCAGGTCACCAGCACAGCCAGTGAAAGTGTGTATTTAGATACAGGAAACATGACTTAGGTTTCAGAGAAGCCTGCCAGGTGCTCAGGTTTGCCATAGAAACGCAGCTCAGGATCTAGGTTTGGTCCTGGGACCCTAGAACTCCAGCACCCCAGCTGCTCTCCCTGAGCCCCTTTTCCTGCTGTACTTATCACCCTCCCCTCCCTTCCTCCTGAAGACTTAGAAAAACCTAGATGACATTAGTGTAAATGAACAGTGTAGTCAAAGCCATGTCTGTTTCTCCAGGTTTCATTGCAGGAGTGGTCTTCAACTGGGCCTTTCATGGACCTGCTTTCTCCTTTCCGAGTTCCTAATGAGGTCCCGCTGCTGGCTCTGAGTGACCTGGTTCTGTCTACAGGTTGTCTCTGTGCCCTAGATTCACTCAGGTGTCTTCCTTACACACACACACACACACACACACACACACACACACACCAATCTCTACAACTGTATCATCTCTAATTTCTTCTTCTTGGAGTCCTCAGTCCACCAGTCCCGGTGGAGGTGGAGCGGGAATACCCCTCATGTATTGAAATTAATTTCCATAACTAGGAGAGTTTAGTTTGGACTCCATACCTGCATGTTAGTTGAATGATTTGCTCATTAAGTCACTCTTTAACCCCATGAGGTTCGGTTTTACAGAGGAGGAAAAAGAGTTGTGCCCAGGACTATGCAGCAGGATCTACCCATTGCAGCACACAGAAAGTCTCCACCAGGACCTGTGTGTGACAGGCTCTGGGCTCTAGTGATAGCTTTGATGGGAAGCATGCATTTGTGTAGAAATTGCTTTCCTGATTGTCCCTTCCCTCAGAGCAACAGTATAAACATCTGCCTGGCTATGAAGTGTCTTATGTATTCATATATATTTTCTAAGTGAAGCAGAAGGTAGGATGCCAGCCAGAACTGACCTTTGACAAGTTCCTAAGAACAGTCATACTGTGCGCTATACTAAGGTACTAGTATGTGTCACACATGTTAGTTCTGAATAAGCAAGATTTTGGTGGGGAGAAGGGGTTTGCCGGTCCTGGGGCTTGAACTTGAGGCTTGGGTGCTGTCCCTGAGCATCTTTGCTCAAAGCTAGTGCTCTCACTGGAGCCAGAGCTCCACTTCTGGCTCTGTTGGGTAGTTAATTGGAGATAAGAATCTCATGGATTTTCCTATCCAGGCTGGCTTTGAACCTTGATTATTAATCTCAGTCTCCTGATTAGCTAGGATTACCAGTGTGAGACCCCAGTAAGAGGCTAGTATACATTTTCTAAATGAAGCAGAAGATAGGATGCTAGCCAGATCTGACCTTTGACAAGTTCCTAAGAAGAACATTCATGCTGTGTACATTTCTCAACCAATATTATATGGCACACATATTAGTTTTTAATAAGCCAATATTTGGGGGGTGTTTGCCAGTCCTGGGGCTTGAACTCAAGCTTTATTGCTCAGCTAGTGCTCTTTCATTCCAGCCATAGCTCCACTTCTGTCTCTTTTGGGTAGTTAATTGGAGATAAGCATCTCACAGATTTTCCTGTGTAGGCTGGCTTTGAACTGATCATTAGATCTCAACCTCCTGAGTAGCGTGAGCCACTGGCACTTAGCAATACACAAGGAGTATAATGGTAAAATTCAGGGCTGTCCAACCAGCCCTTTCTACATTTCTTGTTTCTATTTTGATCACAATGTTTTAAAAGTCTTTCTCAGAATGCTTACCATGCCTCCTGCTTGTGTCAGATTTCTGTCTCTCTTCTCTCGTGCTTCTTTCTTTCTCCTTCCTCTATCCTTCACACTAGTCAGTCACTTCCTGGTATCAGGAAATCAGCCCTTCAAGCCCTAACCTCACCTGTTCTTCCACTAAGTTGTGGCTCTGGCCAGCAGTTTGAGGTAGTAAAGTTTACTCTCTTCCTGGACAGCCATGCAGCCATGTTGGGTGGCTCTACCCTCCTTTGGGCCCTCCTGTTTCCAGGACGAGGGTATACACTACTGCACAATCTGGAGCCCACACAGCCTTGCACACAGCACAGCCCTGCACCAGAAACTCTCTTTCTTCCTGATGCAAGCAGGCTCTGCACATTTTCACTACCTAAGGGGCCCTTGGGTTTCCTTGTGGCATGAAAGCAAAGGTGTGTCCTTGTCCTCTCCTTCCGTGTCCTGGGCTCTCCTGCTCCCAGTGCTGACACATGAAAGGTAAAGAGAGCTGAGAGAGAGCTCTGCCTGCTGCAGCTTCAGTGAGAAATCCAGTCAGCACAGGCTTTTTTTGGCTTTAAAGGGGGTTCACCCTAACATGTCCATGAGATGTGCAATGCACCTTGATCAGTCACATCTTGTTTCCACGCTTATTCAATATAGTTCTGGAGTTCCTAGCCAAAGCAAGGAGTCCAGGGAAAGAAGGAAGAGGGAGAATAATGGGGAATCTTCTTAAAGGCCCTCAGGGATTCTGCAGCTTGGAGAGGATAAGACAATTGCTAGAATTACACGCAAGACTCACCTTGTGTGTGTGGCTCACCTTGTGTGTGTGGCTTATTCAATGCTTTTGCAGTGAAAGCCTCAATGTTTTATGAATGACTTCACCATCACAGAATCAATATAACCCTTGGATTGCTTAGCTTATGGTCCCTCTCAACGCACATTTTCATGGCTAAAGATTATTCGTGGGACTCATTAGGTTCCCAAAAGCGTCCTATGTCCCCTCCTGCTACTGAAGCCAGTGCTAAGACTCTCCCAGGATGCATGGTGGGGGCAGAGGGGATGAAACTCACTTCATGCTGTTCTTCCTTTGCTCCCTCTTATGGGTTGATGGAACCTGATAGACACAGACAGGGGTTCGGTGCTCTTCCAGCCCCTCTCCCAGAATCTGGCTGCATATAGGAGTGAGTTCTGTGAGCCAGTGGGGACAGGGTGTAGCCACCAAGAGGTCCAAGCTCCTCACAGGGCAGAGGTCCTTCAGT